TGGCTGGAAACGGTCTTTTTGACTCTTAAAGCATTCACTTTCATACGGGAACTGACTAGGCTGCCACCTATCTTCATGCGTATTACGATGGCATGCATTCCCGCAAAGATGCTCAAGCATCAGCGTGCAGCTGTCGCTTTTGGTGCCAAGGCTGCGAAAAGGCGAATGGGGCTCGGTACCGAGCGGCCGGAATTCATGTCGTACATTCTTCGCCAGACGGACGAACAACGGTACCTCGCTACCATGGGCTCATTGCATTCCCAGCCGTTTTGCTGACACGCGGACTCCTTAGCATGACGGAACCAGAGATTGAAGCAGCGGCAATCACATTCATCGTTGCGGGCAGCGAGACCAGTAAGTCTGCAGTACCGTCCTGTCTCCTGTACTTCCTCAGCACTCGTCGGCTGATCCTACCTGAGCGGCCACTATGCTTTCTGGCACCGTCTATCTCCTGTGCCAAAACCGACCTGTCATCAAAAGGTTGACGTCTCTTGTTCGGACCGACTTTCCCAACGAGTCTGACCTCACCTTGGTCAAGCTCCAGCAACACGAATACCTCAATGCCGTTCTTCAAGAGGGGCTGCGCCTCTATCCGCCTGCGCCTGACAACCTCTTCCGAGTGACTCCAAAAACCGGAGGATATGTGATGGGTCATTTGCTGCCCCCAAAGACTAGCTTGACTATGAACCTTTGGGCGGCCAACCGGTCGGCGGAAAACTTTCATCGCCCCCTTGAATTTATCCCGGAAAGGTGGGTGAAAGATGCCCCAGTTGAGTTCCGGCAGGATGATAGGAACGCTATGAGACCGTTCAGCGTGGGACCTAGGGATTGTTTGGGGAAGAAGTAAGCTGCGATCCCACAAAGTCGCCTGAACTCATTCTGTGCCTCGCTTATCTAATCATTTCGACAGCCTTGCATGGGCGGAGATGCGCATGATTCTGGCTTATTTGGTTTGGAACTTCGATCTCTAACTCCAATCGGATAGCCAAGATTGGATTGAAAGACAGAAGGTGTTCATGCTTTGGGAAAAGCCAGACCTGAACGTGAAGATTTCCCGGGGACATTGACGAGAACGCAGATCGGAGCATGTCTAGACAGCACTTGATGAGAACAATGAGCACTTTCTTTGGAAATAATCCTGGGCAAGATCGCTATCAATACACAACTCAGCGAATTTCATGAGTTCTACAGCTTGATGTTTAATCGATGAACGTGACAGCAAACAGCTCCCCTCCTCAAAAATACCAACGCATGGGTGTCCCGATCTGCTACCCAACAGCAGAGGTTTTCCGACAGATAATAGGGGCACCCGTGGGATGGCTGAATTGGATTTCGTTCAGGGAGAAACTTAGTGTAGCACCAACTGTCCAATGTATGATTTTCTCGGGACCATGAACTCATCCGAGCACAGTAAGGTAAGAACCCGGCAGAGCGGTCCGATGCTAGCGGTGGATACCTCCCGGATGAGATTCCAGCCAGTAATTCATATCCACAGCCCGATGCTTGCTTCGACACCAAAAGATTCGCCGAATCTCACACCGGCCGGATGCCGTGATTCCCCATGAAGTTGTATTCGTAGGTAGTCACACGCTCACAAACTTCGCTTCCGGTTGGTGTTGAAGGTGAGCCGGTCATCCCCGGAGGACGAAATTGCTACCATTCCCCCACCCCGGTCAGCCGGTACCCCCGCAAAGTGCCTGCTGATAGACGTCATGTTCCTGGCAGTATTCCCGGAAGCGCTCCCCGTCCCCATCATCCTGCCCATTTCTCCTCACGATGTGGAGGCCCTGCGGAGGAACTCCGCACTTTAAACCTATCAATCATCTTGACTGCGCAACGTAGGATGGAATTCCCGAAGTAAAGTTTTCAAGTCTTGATGTTCTGGAAGAAAGAATCCTTGGCTCGGCCGAGAAACGCACCGATTCGATCGTCGCACCAGCGGTGAGCCGGCTACTCTTCGGGGATTTATATAAGTCCGTGTTGTTACATAACGTATTAAACGGGGCTTCAGTGACCATACATAGATACATAGGTACTCACAGCCATCGTGGCCGACGCCTTGTCTCACCACCCGACTTTTCGAGAGTCAACCCGTTCGGAATGTGGTCGACTGGAAGCTTGGCTGCTCTTGCGCAGCTTCTCGCGCTTTCGACAGGCGTCGCAGCCGTCGCGCAGTCGCCAGAAGTTTACCCGTCACGTAAGTCACGTTGCCCGTCCAACAGCCCTGTGCGCGTCAACAAATCAACAACTGACGTAATTGCGAAATAGCATCTGGGAAGGGATCAGGTGTCTGGAAAGATGCGTACGCCAGCGCGCGCAAATTAGTAGACCAATTGACCCTGGAGGAGAAGGTGAATATTACCCGTGGGTTTGCGAGCGACAATGTTTGTGCTGGCAATACCGGGTCAATCCCGCGGCTGGGGTGGCCTGGGATGTGCCTTCATGACGCAGGCAATGGCGTGAGAGCGACCGACCTGGTCAACTCGTATCCTTCAGCTTTGCACATCGGCGCCACTTGGGACAAGAACCTAACCTATCATCGTGGGTATTGGATGGGAAAGGAGTTCAAAACCAAGGGAGGTGAGTGCAAAGAAGCTGACAACCTCCATCTTGAGCACGTAACTGACGCCCTTGCTTAGTAAATGTTCTACTTGGACCTAATGCAGGTCCTCTTGGAAGATCACCTCTTGGTGGCAGAAACTGGGGTAAGAAATTCGTACCGCGACTCCCGAATTCGGACACTAAAATCGTGCATAGAGGGTTTCTCGGTTGATCCGTACTTGTCGGGACAGCTCAACGCGGAGACCATCATTGGTCACCAAGATGCCGGTGTCATTGCCAACCTTAAGGTGCGTTTTTTAAGCTCAAATTGCGACAAAAAAACCTGTTACTGACCTTGCTTGATAGCACTTCATCGGAAACGAGCAAGAAACCTACAGAAGGCCATACTTCGGCGTCGAAGCCGCATCGTCCAACATCGATGACAAGACCCTGCATGAGTTCTACCTCTGGCCTTTTGTCGACGGCGTCAAGGCCGGTGCTGCATCCATCATGTGTTCCTACAACAGAATCAACAACACCTACGGTTGCGAAAACAGCAAACTCATGAACGGCGTCCTCAAGGGTGAGCTCGAGTTCGATGGGTTTGTGCTTCTCGACTGGAACGCGCAACACAACCTCCAGAGTGCCAATTCTGGTCTGGACATGGTCATGCCTCTTGGGGGAAGTTTTGGTCAGAACTTGACCGATGCTGTCAACAATGGTACCGTCGACGAGTCTCGAGTGACGGATATGGCTACAAGGTAATTCATCCCAATTCAAACAATCCAAGAGACGTCATTAACCTCTTCCAGAATTCTTGCGGCCTGGTATCTTGTTGGCCAGGACTCAGACTTCCCCACTCCCGGGATTGGTATGAAGAATCTCACAGAGCCTCACGAGCAAGTTGATGCTCGCGACCCAGACTCGAGGTCAAACATTCTCGAGGGCGCAATTGCCGGACACGTCCTCGTGAAGAATGAGGACAGTGCCCTTCCCTTCGCTAAAGCACCCAACATGATCTCGGTCTTTGGGTATGATGCCACGGTACCCGACACGAAGAACACTGACAAGCTGTTTGAGCTTGGCTACTACTCCTCTCCAGAGATGGGCCAGGCCGTGCTAGGCACGGAAAGACACTTCGACCAAGCGGCCAAGGGAGGAACCATCGTCAGTGGAGGCCGCGCTGCCGCCAATGCGCCGTCTTATATCCTCGATGTAAGCCAGACCTCTCCAAGCATCATCGGATCTAACTGACCCATCGCAGCCCCTCAGCTCCATCCAGCACAGAGCAGCCAAAGACGGTAGCTGGGTAAACTGGGACCTCATATCTCCCAATCCCGACGTCAACGCCGCCAGTGACGTCTGCCTCGTCTTCATCAACGCCATGGCAACGGAAGGCTGGGACCGCGACGGCCTCCACGACGACTTCAGCGACGGTCTCGTCCTCAGCGTCGCCTCCAAATGCCCCAACACCATCGTCATCATTCACGCCGCCGGCATCCGTCTCGTCGACCAGTGGATCGACCACCCCAACGTCACCGCCACCGTCATCGCCCATCTTCCCGGCCAAGACAGCGGTGAAGCGCTCATGCAGCTCCTCTACGGCGAGGCCTCCTTCTCCGGAAAGCTCCCCTACACCCTCGCCAAGAACGAGAGCGACTACTCTGTCTACAAGCCCTGTGGGCGTGGCGAGACGAACACGACGAGTCCGCAGTGCGACTTCACGGAGGGCGTTTACATTGATTACCGCGACTTCGATGCTAAGAACGTCACTCCGAGATACGAGTTTGGGTATGGACTGAGTTACACCAGCTTCGAATACTCATCAATCTCTGTCAAGAAGCAGGAGATCCAGCCAGGCTTCGCGGCGAACTCCGATGCGTTGTGGTCTACCGTCGCAACTGTTCACGCCACGCTGAATAACACTGGGTCCCGCGCGGGAGAGGAAGTCGCGCAGCTGTATGTTGCCATTCCGAACAGCCCACCGAAACAGCTTCGTGGGTTTGAAAAGGTGGCTCTTGAAAATGGACAGGGCGCGGACTTGCAGTTTGAGTTGACGAGGCGGGATTTGAGTGTTTGGGATGTTGTGGCTCAAAAGTGGACTCTTCAGGAGGGCGAGTACACCGTGTTCGTGGGTGCGAGCAGCCGGGACTTGCCTCTCTCGCAGGCCCTTTCTATTTGAGCCAGATCTCTCTCAGTGCTGGAGGTTTTGTCTCGAATCTTTAATACTAAGTCCAAATATGGTGATCAGTTCACGTTGTCCCCCATTCCTTCAAGCCCCCTTCGAGTGCGCTCTCGGACACATATCTGTCCTGTTCGTTATCTTAAAAGAGGTATAACTCCAAGGAAAAGAAGTGGCTTTTCTGTCTAACAGAAAAAACGCGAAAGGCCCCCCAAACGGCCCACGTTACTCGACATATCCCTACACATGTACTATCAAGGCTCAAAAAGCAAAAAGTAGGTCCATCCAGGATTCGAACCTGGGCTTACGGAAAGTTCTGATATCATCAGAATCCGACGTCCTAACCAACTAGACTAATAGACCAATTGAGTTGATCCAGCTGCAATGGGCTGGTGTGAGCGCTTCAGCCGAAAATGTGGAATATGTTACGTGGGTTTAGCCCTCGTGGACCTCAAGTGGAGACAAGTTCGACCAGGACCAGGATTGGCACCACACAAGCCCATCGCTATCAACACATTCATGTCCCTTGAAAGACCTTTAATCTTCAAGTCTGACAGCTTATTTTGAGACTTGTGGCTCCCGAGAGAATTGTCTGGTGAACCTTTCCTATTGTATCAGTATCCGAAACTCTCTAGGCATTCAATCAACTCCTTCTCACCAGCAGCCCGCATCTCCACAATCTGCTCCGGCGTCTTCCTCTTCAACATGACTGGGTGATGTAGCGCGAATGGAGCAAGAAGGCTCTCCAGCTTTCGAAGTTGTTCGAGAGCAGCCATGCCAGCAATTTCACTTGGTCTCAGCGCCCCTCTCTCAGCCAATGCATCATCCCATGCCTTTGCTCTCGCAAGTTGCCCGACCGCCTCTTCTGGCAGATCGGAGATGTCAAAGTTGCCCGCCAGCATTGCTTTGGCAATTTTACCATCGCTCAAGTCGGAGTCCCGTGCAGTGCCGCCGTTCGTGCTGCCTCCAATGTCTCCAAAAGAGGTGAAGAACTCATGGGCTGGATGAGAGATGTAAGCCCAGTCAAAATCAAGAACTCCCGTGATCTGTTTTGTTGCAGGGTCGTATTGAATGTTGTTGGTGGCTGATGTTCATGTTAATAAACATATCTCGGGAGAGCAATAGTCCGCCCCTGACTTACTGAGGTCGCCGTGAATCAGCACGCGTTGCGTTTCATCGACGCCAGCTCCAGCAAGATACCGGTCAAGTCCACTCAGAATGAACTTGTTGATACGTTCGCGAACACCGTTAGGCTTCCAACCTTGCAGATTCGAGCTCCCATCCGCATCGCGCAGGCAAAATTCCAACTTGGACTTCCAAAAGTCGGTGTACGAATTCCATGGTGCCCCTTCCAGAATCGTCATCTTGCCACCCACGATATTTCCAGACTCATCGATGGTCAATCCGCCATGCAACTTGATGCTCTCAGGTAACGGCGCTCGTTGAATACCTGTGAAGACATCTGCAATCTGACCAAGCACAGTCTTCTTCTCATCGTCTGATAGGTCCTTGAACTTGGTGTCAAGCGGCACGCCGTGCTTGAACTCCATCAAAGTCCAGTCATAGCCATCACCTGCGCCTTGAGCTGAACTCCACGCAAAGATGGCCGGGATGAGCCCGGCGGCATCAGGTTTGAAAGCTTGGAGGCCCTGGCGAGCGATGTACATCGCTGCGACCTCGTTCTCGACTCGATTATCCTGGATGATGTCCATGGCTTTGGGATTAGCTAGCCGCATGACGATGGTTGAGATGCCTCCCTCTGGCGGAAGCGTGGTGTGCGAGCCAGTATCAAGGAAATTGTCCTTGGTGGCTGGCTTGGCCAAATTGATTTTGTAGATGAAGTTGTTGTAGGGGAATGGAACGTCCTCTTGGTATTCTACGGGTGTGATTTCGGTGGGCTGTATCCGGTATCAATAACCTGGGCGTTGAGAGGGAGGAGTGGCTCTTACCTCGAGACCGAACCCAATTACGGTATTCCTGACGAAGTCAAGACGCTCTTGAAATTGTTCGTGATTCATAATGGAGAGAGATGAGTTGTCAAAAATATCGTATGTTGTTGACGTTGAAATAAGAGTGCGGAGTTTTGAGGTAAAGGGAACTTGGGATTGTTTTAAATATGCCACGAGTCTCTTGCTATTGGGCGTGGAGAGATTTCTTTTGATCACACTCCACGTAGCTCTTACCAAGCCAGTAATCACAATCGAATTTGCTCCTTCCCTTGCAATACCTAGTTGAGTCAGAACACCAATTTGGAAGGCGAACAGCAGAAAACTGCTCGTCCTCTCAATTGGGATGTTGCATGTTCACGATATTGAAATATGTGATTTTAAAGGAAGCGAATCGGATCCCATCCGGTCTCTCCGGTGCCAATCAACATCACGCTCTTTGGTTAAGCCAAGGCTTTTCTAATCGTTGACTGATGCCATTGTCAGCCGTGATCCTTGCCAAAAGCCCGTTGCTGCCTGGAAATACTGTTTCAACCCACACGTAAATCAGCCATTTCTGCCTAAACTGTGCCGCACAGATGCATATTGGCTTCAGAGTTCACCAAGACAATCATGTAGTTGAGCTTCGTGAATTACTGTTATTGGCTGTTTGACGTCTGTATTGCAGCACTATCTTGGGATCCACTTCCCTCTCGCCTAATTTTTCTTGCCATCCACTGTTAGTGTAATACGTGGGATACCACCAAAATTCTTAACAGCGGAAAACCCTTCAATTCTCGCCTCCAGC